AGGAGCAGGGTTCCCTGCTTTTTTTTTCTTGTGAGAAACTAGTCACCTAAAGGTAGATTACCCCACAGTTGGAGTTGCTGGCTGGGAACTCATGCTTGGTGACAGTAAGCATATAGCCAGGTACAGCAGCATTACAGCCCAAAGCTCTTACCCAAGGGCATTTAATAGATCAGCAGCAGGCTGAGGCTAGCTCCACTCTGTGTCCCTATATATTTTCAAATGCATAGGAACACCTGGTATGTGTGTGTGTGTATGTGTGTGTGTGTGTGTGTGTGTGTGAACATGGCATGTTATGGACATGGTATGTCAGTGGCCATGCTGAGTTTTCCTTATGACCCCAAGTCTTTTCTAGTTCCCTCTGCTTGTTCTGTAATTGCTGGTATGGTATTCCTTATATCATAAACATCCCCAAAATATTCATGACCTGAAGGCCCCAGTGTTGCTATATTAGGAAATAGTTTTGAAGAGCTAATTAAGGTTGTACAATAAAGATATGGTTTTAATCCTAAAGGAACGGAGTTTTTTTAAGAAGAGAAAGACACACACAGAGTAAAGACTATGTGAGGAAACAGTGAGAAGGTGTTGTCTACAAGTCTCAGTGTAAACCATACATGTCAACACATTGATCTTGGAATTTAAGCCTCTAGGAGTGTGGGAAAATGAGTTGCTATTGTTTAAGATTGTGGTGTATCATTATGGCAGCTGTATACAGGGGAATGACAGGGAAAGGAGGGTCTACATTTTTCTAGTTGGAAATCTCTGCTGAGGATTTGGGTGTCATATTCTGGTAGGAACAGCAGATGGCAGTGGTGTTCTGCGAGTTTGCACAGCCAGTTAGCTTGTGGCTCTGGCCTAGATAACTAAAGGGTCAGAGATGGAAACATCAAGTTCTAGCTGTTTATCATTGGAAAAAAAATGTTGCATTAAAGTGTCTATTATGATCTGAATGTTTATGTTCCCCTAGAATTCATATCTTGAAACCCAATTACCAATGTAACCATGTTTGGAGGGTGGGCCTTTGGGGAGGTGATTATGTCATGAGTGCTCATGAGTGGGATTAATGCCATCAGAAAAGAGGCCCGGAGAATGTCTTTCCCCTTTCATCATCTGAGAACACAGAAAGAAGGCCTGATCTATGAACTAGGAAACAAGCCTTCCCTAGACACCAGTTCTGCAGCACCTTGATTTTGGATTTCCCGTCTTCAGACCTATAGCAAATAAATGCCACTGTACACTTAGTGTTTACATATACATTAAACCTCTCCTGTAGTCTAGGGCTTGCTGAGAGCACTTTTTTTCTCCAGAGTCACTAAGATTTTTTAAGGATCAAGATAATTTTCTTTATGATTACCAAAAGTGAGACAGAAGTTTCATCTCTTCTCTACATTAGAGCATTGGAAGTCAGATGTCCAGGCAGCATCTGAACGTGAATATGTGGACAAGGCTGCATATTTCATGGTAATATATGAAAAATATCAACTGAGTCATTTTACTCAACAAATATTCCTGATTACCACTGTGTGAATGACCACACAGTGGTCATAGTAAATGAACCCAGTGAGAAGTCACTAAAGGTCACTGGACACAGAACCAGGCCAAATGAACACCTCCTTCATCTTCTTCACTAGTCCCATGAGCATCTCAGGCAAGTGACAGTTCACTTGGATATAAAAATAAAGAGATATCTTAGCCACTAAGATGAACATTAGACTTGTGCGTTAATTAATGTTAGACTTGTGGATTAATAAAGGCAGATAAGGGGTGGTCATCAAAATATGTAAAAAGACATATACATTATTTTTCGAAGTCTTTTGGGAGGCTTATTAGATGTTTGAGTTAGAAAATTGATTTTCCAAAAGATATCACTGGCTTCTGATCTCCTTGGATTTATACGGTCTGGGCAAAAACTTGATCTAGGGCAGAATTCTCTAAGATACATTTCTTGGGATTCAAGTTCTCTGAAATATAAAGATTTTTTTCATGGGAAGGTTCTGTGTTCAATATTTGGGAGATTTGTATTAATTACATCATAAATTTCTATAAATCTATAAAAAAATCACTATCTGTATCCAAGTAAACATGGCTTACTATAAAACATCTGAAAACTTTAGAAAACTCCAAATCGTGTGCTCTAACAGTCACAGTGAATATGAATTTCCCAAGGGCACCACATTCAAATATAACTGTCCTATATCTGCTTATATATCAACCCCATACAGGCCTACCATGCCTTCCTTCTTGTGGGAACCACAAAAAGGCTCTGCTCTTGCTCTCTGTATTAAGACTACCGTTGGTTGGTCCTGCCGCTGAGTGGCTCAGCATGGCTGCTGGGTTTTCCCTAGGGAACTGTGAGTGTAACAAAACTGAAACTCTGTTTCTCTCTTTGATATGTGTCTATCCTCACTCTACCTCACTCAAGGTAATATTAATACAAAACTGGATTAGAAATAGTTGGACCTACTTCTTTATTACACTGTTCTTGGAGATGTCAATATGTAAAAGAACATCCAAAATTTTCGATGTCAAACTTACTTAGGGTTGGAGTGTTTTGTTGAACCATTGATCTCATGAAACTAGCATTTCCGGGATCCCCTTTGAGGAGTGGTATTCTAGAAAGATATTTATTATCTAGGGAGACCTGGTAGGTCAGTAAATGTTATCTGAAGACAGGATTGCACTACCATGATTATGAAATGAAATTAAATGCTATAGTCTAGGGAAAGCTCCAACTTCCATTTGAACATTGATCTATGGACTTTTTTCTTTAAGGATTTTGCATATAGTCATGGAATGGTAAGGTCTGAATGAACTTACATGGTTTGTGGAGTTCAGGCATTTTAAAATTCAATTATCTTTTACCTTTCCTAATCCTTGAATAATTTTTTGTGCATGAGTGCTTACTAGATGGCTTCTCTTGTATATTCCTTAGAAATCTCAAACTCAACCTGTCCACACTGAATTAATTATCACATTCTCACTTTACTTTCCTTAAGTGACATATCCATCTATACATTCACTCACACCAGGCATCTAGAAATCTACCAGTCTCCTCTTCTCTTACACAGTACCCAACCACACCCCACCAATTACATCATGTTAGTATGCATACCATATCATATTGAATCATAGCATATCATTCTTCTTCATCTTTAATATTGGTCTTAGTTCAGAACCCCATTATCTCATATTTTGATCAATTTAGTGGTGTCTTGACTTTTCCTTTCCCTAATTTTTTCCCTCTCAGTCTCTCTCATTCTGATGCCATTGTAAATTCTCTAAAATCAATTCTTGATTACATTCTTTTCCAATAAACTATCTACCAATTGATTTGCACTGTGTCACATAAAATGAAGTCCAAACACCTTAATTTTTTATAACCATTTTTCTATTATCTCATTCTTGCTTGCTTTTCCAATTTCTTCTGGGTGTCTGCTTCTAGCACAAGATATAATTCACTCACATTAATCTTACTGCAATGTGCCTAGCAGTTTTATCACCTTTTGCCCGGGACTACTTACCCAACACATATCTTTTTGCCTTTCAAGACCAAGTTAAAAAATGTACTTTTTTCTGAACCCTTTCTTCTCTTCCCTCACTATACAGAGTTTTATTATACTTATTTGTTTACAGGTTTGTTTTCCCTTACCAGATGACAAGTTCCTAAAGGAGTAAAAGATTGTACATTAGTCCTCTTAAAATCTCCTAAGATTGACTTGATATACTGAGGAGTGTTTTACAAAAGCTTAGTTATTGAAAGGACCATCATTTCCTTTTGTGTACAAAATAATATAAACTGTGTGCTATATTTAAATGATATATGAGAATAACTGAAAAATTGCTCCCTATAAGTTAATCAAAACTGCTTCTTACTTGTAGCATGATTAGAAAGTAAGTATATCTTTCCCTCACATCAGCATGCAAGAGAGAAGTGGATTCTCATCCCCTATTGTCTCAACAGCCCCATCGTTCCAAATATTTTTGGAAACCATGAAAAATTACTCCCAACTGCAATTTTTCCTCACAGGAAATACAGCTGCATACACAGCTATCCACTCTTATTCTCTCTAAAGATAATAGGGATACTTTTTTTTTCTAAAGAAAATATGAATACTTGTTTTTTCCCCCAATCCTACATTTCATAATCTTAGGGTCAAGGAAGGAGAGAAATCCTGTACATAACCATGTTTAGAAAAGGAGAGGACAATGGAGCTACTTTGAGGCTTGTGTGCGGGGATCTCTGTCTGAATTCCAGATGAAACAATTGTTCTCAATGCTAAGACTCTGACATAGAGTTCTATCATTTTGTAGCAAATTGTAGGAACAACAAGATCTTTTGAACATTTGACTCCCCAGGGCAGATTCCCTGAATACATCATTTTCATGTGAGAATTTTAGGAACTATTGCAAATTACTCATTGTTGAGATATGTTGTCCTTGGTGAAAATGATTAGTTATCAATACCTAATAAGTGCCTAATAATGGGTATTGATAAGAAAATGTCAAGTTAACCAGATTTAAAAATCACTTCTGTAGTAGTAAGATGGAGGGAGAAAGAAAAAAGGGGAAGGAAGAGGGGAGATAAGAAAGAAATAGAGGGTATGAATATGATCAAAGTATATTATATACCTGTATAGAAATGTCATGATGAAACCCGTTACTATGTGTAATTTAATATATGCCAATACAAAATGAAAAAATCAATTCCATCTCCAATCTCATCTCTCTATTCCCTAATAGATTTGTTACAAAAAGAACCAATTTTTTAAATACCTATTAATGAAAAGAAAAAAACAACTGGTTTTTCAAAACGAGTGCCTCTCCATTTATTCAATATACTCATTGTTTCACAAAAAATATTTTAGCTTGATGGGCACCAAAAGTTTATTCCCTGTTCTAATGGCAGGTTGAGGGGTATTGTCTGAGGAGTGGGATGGGAAGGTAGGAAGTGTAAAGAAAAAACTTTGGACTTAAAAGAAACAGAATAGAGCTTTAATACTTACAGCTGTCTTCTTCTTCAGTTATACATTTCACAACATAGCAGGCATAGATGAACCCTGCCAGCTGAAACAAAACAGAGACACTTTAAACATTAGGCAAAAGTAACAGAACCTGACCTCACAGCAGGCAGGGGGAAAGGCTTTTCAAAGACAATTGATTTTATGAGCAAATTCAGGGATCTAAAATGGTTCATTGGACTGGATCGTGACTCCGGTGCGGATTCTTGACTTCAGTGATGTATTGATAAATATGTTATAAATAAATTTATTGCTTTATTTTCTTCGGTTTTTGTGTATAAGATTTATTAATTTCCAGGCAAAGTAAAAATTATTTTAGATATAAAGAAAGGAAAATACTGACCATTCACTAACAGATTTCAACATTTGCATTTGTGCCAATAGACTTCTATTTTACTTTTCCTTACTTTGAGTTCTAGGATTCTAAAATTGAACTCTTCCTAGCCACCAGAAAAATGCTTTGAGGTAAAAATGTTAAGGAGATTCTATGGACTTCTTATAAGAAAAATTCTTATTTAGACCTGTAACAGGAACCAGAGGAAACAGAGGTAATAAGGTGGACACCAGTAAGTAAGGAGCATCATCATGCTGTATTCAGGATTGCTTGTATCACATCCTTTCTGAAACATATGGCAGAAAAGTCCCAGTGTCCAGGAAATTTCTTGCTCAATAAAATTGGTACCTATAAATGAATGCGGTTATTTGGTATTTATCCACCAGACTGAGTGGTTTTGTATTCCTTCATGTCAATAGCATATTTAATCAAAATTCTGTGCTCTGGTAGAGGCAAAAAAAAAAAAGAATATAATTTTTGTTTTAGCAAAAGCAATCAAACTTGGGTAAATTCCTGAAGATATATCCTCAGAACTTGATGAAAATTATTCATGGTGTCATTTTAGCCAGGCATTGATCTGGTTGATTACTGATGATATGGTCATACTGAGCAGGGCTGCTAAAGCACAGGGGAAAAAGAAGCTGCCATAATAAGCCTAATGAAGTTGCTGTTCGTTAGCTGAAAGATAGTGTTCTTCTGTAGGAAGTGGGCAGAACATTTTAGGTTAGAGGTGCACTAATAGGTATTTAATGAGTACAGAACTATTTGGAGACAAAGATGGGTCCAGTTACCCAGATATGAACCCACACAACTATAGCCAACTTGTCTTTGACAAAGGAGCTAAAAATATACGATGGAGAAATAACAGCCTCTTCAACAAAAACTGCTGGGAAAACTGGTTAGCAGTCTGCAAAAAATTGAAACTAGATCCATGTATATCACCCTATACCAAGATTAACTCAAAATGGATCAAGGATCTTAATATCAGACCCCAAACTCTTAAGTTGATACAGGAAAGAGTAGGAAATACTCTGGAGTTAGTAGGTATAGGTAAGAACTTTCTCAATGAAACCCCAGCAGCACAGCAACTAAGAGATAGCATAGATAAATGGGACCTCATAAAGCTAAAAAGCTTCTGTTCATCAAAAGAAATGGTCTCTAAACTGAAGAGAACACCCACAGAGTGGGAGAAAATATTTGCCAACTATACATCAGACAAAGGACTGATAACCAGAATATACAGGGAACTTAAAAAACTAAATTCTCCCAAAACTAATGAACCAATAAAGAAATGGGCAAGTGAACTAAACAGAACTTTCTCAAAAGAAGAAATTCAAATGGCCAAAAACACATGAAAAAATGCTCACCATCTCTAGCAATAAAGGAAATGCAAATTAAAACCACGCTAAGATTCCACCTCACCCCTGTTAGAATAGCCATCATCAGCAACACCACCAACAACAGGTGTTGGCGAGGATGTGGGGAAAAAGGAACCCTCTTACACTGTTGGTGGGAATGTAGACTAGTACAACCACTCTGGAAAAAAATTTGGAGGCTACTTAAAAAGCTGGACATCGATCTACCATTTGATCCAGCAATACCACTCTTGGGGATATACCCAAAAGACTGTGACACAGGTTACTCCAGAGGCACCTGCACATCCATGTTTATTGCAGCACTATTCACAATAGCCAAGTTATGGAAACAGCCAAGATGCCCCACCACTGACGAATGGATTAAGAAAATGTGGTATCTATACACAATGGAATTTTATGCAGCCATGAAGAAGAACGAAATGTTATCATTCGCTGGTAAATGGATGGAATTGGAGAACATCATTCTGAGTGAGGTTAGCCTGGCCCAAAAGACCAAAAATCGTATGTTCTCCCTCATATGTGGACATTAGATCAAGGGCAAACACAACAATTGGTTTAGACCATGGAGCACATGATAAAAGCAAGAGCACACAAGGGAGGGGTGAGGATAGGTAAGACACCTAAAAAATTAGCTAGCATTTGTTGCCCTCAATGCAGAGAAACTAAAGCAGATACCTTAAAAGCAACTGAGGCCAATAGGAAAAGGGGAACAGGTACTAGAGAAAAGGTTAGATCAAAAAGAATTAACCTAGAAGGTAACACCCACGCACAGGAAATCAATGTGAGTCAATGCCCTCACCAGCAAAAACCCTTGTTCCTTCCTGTTATTGCTTATACTCTCTCTACAACAAAATTAGAAATAAGGGCAAAATAGTTTCTGCTGGGTATTGAGGGGGTAGGGGGGAGAGGGAGGGGGTGGAGTGGGTGGTAAGGGAGGGGGTGGGGGCAGAGGGGAGAAATGAACCAAGCCTTGTATGCACATATGAATAATAAAAGAAAAAGAAAAAATAAAAAGATAGGTCCAGTTACTAAAAAATATCTAACTCAGATTGGAGAAAGAAAGCATGTTTTGAAAGAATCTAGCTGTCTTCCAAAGAGAACTTGTGTAGAATAAAACAGTAGTCATCCTGGGAGAGAACAGCAAGCAGCAACGACCACATTTGGGGAGAAAGCCCTTTTTTTTTTTGGATCCTGGATGAGAGGGAATGTGTATCTACCTCCTCCCCTAATACCCTCAAATGTAGTGTCTGAACCAGCACACATAATATACAGCAAAATAAGAATACTACTGGTGTTAATGTGAGCAGAATTGGTTTTCTTTTAAACAACATTTTAAGTTATGGAAACAGCCAAGATGCCCCAGCACAGACGAATGGATTAAGAAAATGTGGTATCTATACACAATGGAATTCTATGCAGCCATGAAGAAGAACAAAATGTTATCATTCGCTGGTAAATGGATGGAACTGGAGAACATCATTCTGAGTGAGGTTAGCGTGGCTCAAAAAACCAAAAATCGTATGTTCTCCCTCATATGTGGACATTAGATCAAGGGCAAACACAACAAGGGGATTGGACTATGAGCACATGATAAAAGCGAGAGCACACAAGGGAGGGGTGAGGATAGGTAAGACACCTAAAAAACTAGCTAGCATTTGTTGCCCTTAATGCAGAGAAACTAAAGCAGATACCTTAAAAGCAACTGAGGCCAATAGGAAAAGGGGAACAGGTACTAGAGAAAAGGTTAGTTCAAAAAGAATTAACCTAGAAGGTAACACCCACGCACAGGAAATCAATGTGAGTCAATGCCCTCACCAGCAAAAACCGTTGTTCCTTCCTGTTATTGCTTATACTCTCTCTACAACAAAATTAGAAATAAGGGCAAAATAGTTTCTGCTGGGTATTGAGGGGGTGGGGGGGGAGAGGGAGGGGGTGGAGTGGGTGGTAAGGGAGGGGGTGGGGGCAGGGGGGAGAAATGAACCAAGCCTTGTATGCACATATGAATAATAAAAGAAAAATGAAAAAAAAAATAAAAACGTCATCAAATCAGCATGATTATCTTTCAATTATATATTGTTATTGGCAAGAACTACTCCCTTATATAACAGGATCACTTAAGATCTTTGTTTTTGTGGGATTTTTTTTTTTTAGAATATGGGGTACTAGTTAAAAATTAATGCTTCCTATTTGGCTTTAGTACAGATTTTTATTTGACTAATCAAAAAAATCACACAGTGATTTGAGCATTTGCAGAGAGACTATAATAATACATTTTAATTCTTTATCCACCCGGAGCTATAGTAACACTCTCTTCACTAAGTGGACCAGTCCTATGGGTACTTTGTCATTATTTGGATGTGCCTGTAGCTAGTTAAGAAGTATGGGTTTCCTTAAATCCTGTGGGTGCGGCTGTAACTTCACCCCTGCCTTCACATTAAGTCATAATATGTGGCTAAATGCTTCCCATTTATCAATAGTTTATCTCTTCTTTACAGCTTTAAGTACTTGTTGAATTATCTGTAAAGCAATTTTTTTCCTAATCACAAACCTTTCTTTTGATTTTTACTCATCACTTCATTACTGCAAAATGAAAATCTAGATAACAAGTATTGATAAATTCTGAGATTCAGGGACAGTAAGTTTAAACTCCTCATTAAAGTGTAGCTAGATTCCAGATTATTAAGTGTACTCTCCCTGAATGAAGTTAAGGACTTGCATTCTGCTTATCAGTGATCTTTTAATTGTATTCAGTTGCATTCTGTAACTACCAGGGGAGTTCCTTTGATATAAAAGTGATTCCTGCTGCATCTCATTACAAAAGCTTGCTGATTAAGAGAACTTTAGCTTTTAAATTGGTTACCTCTAAATACAAATGGAAACTCGTTTTTCCCCAATTCATCAAGATTCATAAACCCTACTATTTTCTAATTTTCCTATACTGTGTACATTTTTAATTTTAATGTCCCAATAGCAATTTGTAAAAATTTACCTGTAGAAAAGGCATTTCAAGTCATTTCTAACAGTCTGAATGCTTCCTATAATGTGCAACTTTGCTTCCAAGGTAAACTAAATCAGTGTTTCTAACCCTTAGCACCACTGGCATTTTGGGTTGGATAGTTCTTTGTGGTGGAGGCATTGTGTGTCTTAGTATGGATAACCAGTAAGATCCGACAGTCAAGATGGTCAACAATTGAGATAATCAAAAACATCTCCAGATATTGTCATATGTTCCTTAAAGGGCCAAATTACCAACAGTTATAGAGTCACTGTTAGATATAGTGATAGCTTTAAAGACTTTGCCATTGTGTATTAGGGGTACACATATAATTGTATTTT